TGTACCGGAGGGCCCATAATACGATATCGGACGTGCAAGAACGGTTCCCTAAAATTCTCTAATAGATAGTTTTTAGAACCGTTTTCCAACATCAGATATGGTACCATGGGCCCTCAGGTAGGAACCGCATGTATCTACCGCAGAAGACTCCCACATACGCAGTTTGTACCGGAGGGCCCATAATACGATATCGGACGTGCAAGAACGGTTCCCTAAAATTCTCTAATAGATAGTTTTTAGAACCGTTTTCGAACATCAGATACGGTCCGATGGGCCCTCAGGTAAGAACCGCATGTATGCTACCGCAGAAGACTCCCACATACGCAGTTTGTACCGGAGGGCCCATAATACGATATCGGACGTGCAAGAACGGTTCCCTAAAATTCTCTAATAGATACTTTTTAGAACCGTTTTCCAACATCCGATACGGTACCATGGGCCCTCAGGTAGGAACCGCATGTATGCTACCGCAGAAGACTCCCACATACGCAGTTTGTACCGGAGGGCCCATAATACGATATCGGACGTGCAAGAACGGTTCCCTAAAATTCTCTAATAGATAGTTTTTAGAACCGTTTTCGAACATCAGATACGGTACGATGGGCCCTTAGGTAGGAACCGCATGTATGCTACCGCAGAAGACTCCCACATACGCAGTTTGTACCGGAGGGCCCATAATACGATATCGGACGTGCAAGAACGGTTCCCTAAAATTCTCTAATAGATAGTTTTTAGAACCGTTTTCCAACATCAGATATGGTACCATGGGCCCTCAGGTAGGAACCGCATGTATCTACCGCAGAAGACTCCCACATACGCAGTTTGTACCGGAGGGCCCATAATACGATATCGGACGTGCAAGAACGGTTCCCTAAAATTCTCTAATAGATAGTTTTAGAACCGTTTTCGAACATCAGATACGGTCCGATGGGCCCTCAGGTAAGAACCGCATGTATGCTACCGCAGAAGACTCCCACATACGCAGTTTGTACCGGAGGGCCCATAATACGATATCGGACGTGCAAGAACGGTTCCCTAAAATTCATAATAGATAGTTTTTAGAACCGTTTTCGAACATCAGACACGGTACGATGGGCCCTCAGGTAGGAACCGCATGTATGCTACCGCAGAAGACTCCCACATACGCAGTTTGTACCGGAGGGCCCATAATACGATATCGGACGTGCAAGAACGGTTCCCTAAAATTCTCTAATAGATAGTTTTTAGAACCGTTTTCGAACATCAGATACGGTACCATGGGCCCTCAGGTAGGAACCGCATGTATGCTACCGCAGAAGACTCCCACATGCGCAGTTTGTACCGGAGGGCCCATAATACGATATCGGACGTGCAAGAACGGTTCCCTAAAATTCTCTAATAGATAGTTTTTAGAACCGTTTTCCAACATCAGATACGGTACCATGGGCCCTCAGGTAGGAACCGCATGTATGCTACCGCAGAAGACTCCCACATACGCAGTTTGTACCGGAGGGCCCATAATACGATATCGGACGTGCAAGAACGGTTCCCTAAAATTCTCTAATAGATAGTTTTTAGAACCGTTTTCGAACATCAGATACGGTACGATGGGCCCTCAGGTAGGAACCGCATGTATGCTACCGCAGAAGACTCCCACATGCGCAGTTTGTACCGGAGGGCCCATAATACGATATCGGACGTGCAAGAACGGTTCCCTAAAATTCTCTAATAGATAGTTTTTAGAACCGTTTTCGAACATCAGATACGGTACGATGGGCCCTCAGGTAGGAACCGCATGTATGCTACCGCAGAAGACTCCCACATACGCAGTTTGTACCGGAGGGCCCATAATACGATATCGGACGTGCAAGAACGGTTCCCTAAAATTCTCTAATAGATAGTTTTTAGAACCGTTTTCGAACATCAGACACGGTACGATGGGCCCTCAGGTAGGAACGCATGTATGCTACCGCAGAAGACTCCCACATACGCAGTTTGTACCGGAGGGCCCATAATACGATATCGGACGTGCAAGAACGGTTCCCTAAAATTCTCTAATAGATAGTTTTTAGAACCGTTTTCGAACATCAGATACGGTACCATGGGCCCTCAGGTAGGAACCGCATGTATGCTACCGCAGAAGACTCCCACATACGCAGTTTGTACCGGATGGCCCATAATACGATATCGGACGTGCAAGAACGGTTCCCTAAAATTCTCTAATAGATAGTTTTTAGAACCGTTTTCGAACATCAGATACGGTACCATGGGCCCTCAGGTAGGAACCGCATGTATGCTACCGCAGAAGACTCCCACATACGCAGTTTGTACCGGAGGGCCCATAATACGATATCGGACGTGGAAGAACGGTTCCCTAAAATTCTCTAATAGATAGTTTTTAGAACCGTTTTCGAACATCAGATACGGTACGATGGGCCCTCAGGTAGGAACCGCATGTATGCTACCGCAGAAGACTCCCACATACGCAGTTTGTACCGGAGGGCCCATAATACGATATCGGACGTGCAAGAACGGTTCCCTAAAATTCTCTAATAGATAGTTTTTAGAACCGTTTTCGAACATCAGATACGGTACGATGGGCCCTCAGGTAGGAACCGCATGTATGCTACCGCAGAAGACTCCCACATACGCAGTTTGTACCGGAGGGCCCATAATACGATACCGGACGTGCAAGAACGGTTCCCTAAAATTCTCTAATAGATAGTTTTTAGAACCGTTTTCGAACATCAGATACGGTACCATGGGCCCTCAGGTAGGAACCGCATGTATGCTACCGCAGAAGACTCCCACATACGCAGTTTGTACCGGAGGGCCCATAATACGATATCGGACGTGCAAGAACGGTTCCCTAAAATTCTCTAATAGATAGTTTTTAGAACCGTTTTCGAACATCAGACACGGTACGATGGGCCCTCAGGTACGAACCGCATGTATGCTACCGCAGAAGACTCCCACATACGCAGTTTGTACCGGAGGGCCCATAATACGATATCGGACGTACAAGAACGGTTCCCTAAAATTCTCAAATAGATAGTTTTTGAAACCGTTTTCCAACATCAGATACGGTACCATGGGCCCTCAGGTAGGAACCGCATGTATGCTACCGCAGAAGACTCCCACATACGCAGTTTGTACCGGAGGGCCCATAATACGATATCGGACGTGCAAGAACGGTTCCCTAAAATTCTCTAATAGATAGTTTTTAGAACCGTTTTCGAACATCAGACACGGTACCATGGGCCCTCAGGTAGGAACCGCATGTATGCTACCGCAGAAGACTCCCACATACGCAGTTTGCACCGGAGGGCCCATAATACGATATCGGACGTGCAAGAACGGTTCCCTAAACCTCCCTAATAGATACTTTTAGGGAACCGTTTTTGAACATGAGATACGGTACGATGGGCCCTCAGGTACGAACTGAGCATGTGCGAGTCTTCTGTTTTAGCTCATGCGCAGTTCGTACCGGAGCGCCCATCGCACCGTATTGTGGTGTCATCCTGACTGTTATCACGCTGACCTGCGCGCATGCTCGCGTTCGCTTGCCTCGTATCGAAGGTACGACGCGTGGCGATATATACGGCGTACGGAATAAACTCACGCTTCGTTAAGCTGGGAACTACGTCGTTGTCTGTTCCTTCGTCGCGCCGCAAGGCACTTGACACGTATCGGATGTGCGAAAACGGTTTCCTAAAAATCTCCAGTAGTAGTTTTAGCGAGCCGCTTTCGGAGCGCACTGTTCCACGCGTGAAATTTAACGTATTTCAGCGGATCGTAAACTGGCGCAACCATGCAAACGATGACCATGTTGATTGCATTTTACAGGCAGCGTCATCTTCTAGTAAACATATAAAACGTTCTGCAGGGTGCCAAACCGCGGCGGCCCGTAATTCCGGCGTGCGATCGACTGGTGTAAACAAGACGACCGACGTAACATTTACCGTTCGGAATTTCAAAACCTGCAAAGCTAGTTAGAGTAAAAAGTATCTCAACGACCGCGAAGGTAGGTGGTGTGTCTCTGTCATCTTGAACTTAAGTGATTGTTCACGTTGTATGCCGTCGAAGTTTGTCAGCACGCAGATCGCAAACGAATTACTAGCATGCGTAGATTACAGCATTCGTGATCGCTTACCATCGTGAGCCGTCCTCGAAATGATTTGGTTCAACCTCTCAAATGAACCAGAGAAGCATGGATGGCAAATTGCCTCCCGCTGTCCCAAGCCTAGCGCTCAGGTAGGGCGGCGGACAAACGGACCGGCATCTTTTTTATACCCGAGTCATTAACGATACGGTCTGCATTTTACATATTTCTAGAACTGTCGTGGGGTGCGTCTCTGGGAGTGAGTGAAGGTGCAGCAGCTTATTTAAGACTATACTCCGTTTCATACGTAGCATGCAACGCAGCCGTTAGTGGGCTTCACTGACGACTTCAGCAGCCCGAGTGAGAGAAACGAACAAGAGGAACCTACCGAAGCCCCCACGACTCGCGCGCGCATGCGCATTGGCGTTGCCAATGCGTTTGAGGACGAACCGTTCGTGTGGAAACGACTCGCTAAACTGCCTATGGTCTCTGTGAAGTCCAAACGCAGTCGGCGCTGTACGATCAGGTGGAGCCAATCAAGGAGCGTCAAATGTGCCTCATCATGGCGTTTGTCGTCTTTGGGGGCTGGAGATCACCCGGTCGACCAATCTCGCACAGGAAAAAGAAAACGCAGGATCGCGGCGCATTCACTAGGTGGATGGATGAATGGATGTAACGGCTGTACTTTTTATAACGGGCGGTAGCTCGCGCCACCTTGGATATAAACCAGCCAACCACTGCGCATGATTGGTTCAGTCGGTGATAGGCAGCATACAAGGGCGATGGGCGCCGTGACGATGTATGCAGTTTTTGGCGCCGCTTGATTGGCCCCGATAGATCGCGGTGTCGGCTGGGGTCGGACTTTAAAAGGTTGCGGTCAGGTCGTCAATTCGTGTGCGGCGTTTGTAACGTTCTCAAATCACGAAATTCCGTTACTTGCGACGAAGCGTTGCAGGTCGTGGGTCTTGGTTCTCCCGGGTACTCTGTAAGACGGCTTCAGGACGACAAAAGCTTTTGCCACATCGCCATATTCCGGGTGTGGAACGTCGATCACGGCTGCTTCCTCGACAGCCTCGTGAGACAACAGAACGGCTTCGATTTCCGACTGGGCAACTTGCCATGCCATGCAGTGAAAGAATTGCTTAATACGTTCTACGACGTAGAATCTTCCAGTTTCGTCGTAATAGACGATGTCTCCTGCAAATCAAATGGCAGCCGTTAGCCCCCGACGCGCTTTGTTTATTCAAACAGTTATATCTACATAGGTTGACTAATGTTCTTTTGTTAATAATTTAGCGACACGGAAAACCAAAAAAAAAATAGGGGTGTGGAACGAAGAAAAGGTGCCTAAATAGGTCAATTGCCTCTAAAGATATGTTGGTCTTTCAAAGAGCAATCCACCAGTCGAGACAGCCGTTCTGACAGTCTTGGTGAATCGGGACCACGACAGGACGACGCGGACAGCGTGATGCACGTGCGTTCTTGGACCGGAACAGGGCGGGGGGCAGTGGCGGATCCAAGGGGGGGGGGGGGGCGGTGGGGGCGATCGCCCCCCCCCCCCCCCCGGGGCTTTTCGTGAGCTCGAAGAAAAAACGTAAGCAATCGACGCGAGGGACAAAGGATTAAAACAGCGGTGGGTGGACGCGCCTGCTGGGCGCTTCCAAAGTGAGGTTTATCTCCGTCAAAGTCACGGTACGTCTTCCCGACAGGGACGGCGCCAGGAGTTTCGAAGTGGAGAGACAGTGGGGAGGCGCACCAAATATCAGGGTCCTCGACCGAAGGCACACTTCCAAACAAGGCCATGCACGTCGAGCACGGGGGGGAAATACCTTCAACATATCTAGTCCCATGGTAATAAAACCCGGGACTCAGGAACACAGAAGGGGACGAACACAACACAACGTGTTGTGTTCGTCCCCTTCTGTGTCCCTGAGTCTCGGGTTTTATTACCATGAAGCATCACCAGCTCGCTTGTTTTTTAAGTATTATTTCAGATATCTAGTCCCCTTTCTCTCTCTCTCTCTGTCTCCCTCTCTTTCTTTGAAGGTTGTCTGCGAAAAATTTGTGCCCTGAAAGCTCCCAAACGCAGACGCCAAGCAGCCTTCCTTAAGGGTACGATCCTATACTCAGCGGATTAACCTTCCTCTCTAGCGGCCTCCTTTTCATCACTTTTCGTTTGATGGTTTCTTCGTGGTTCTGGGCTTGTCTTTTGGCATGTCTTTCTTGGCTTGCTTTGAGATGATGTCGCCCACGGGCTCACTAAAGGTGTGTGCTCATTGCCAAGGGAAGTGCGGAGGGGACGTACCAGGAGGAGACGTTCCAGGAAAGGGGGGGGGGGATGCAGCTTGTACAACTAGGTGACCAATTGCTTTTCTTCTCAACTAAGAGAGGAAGCAAATGCTCTGGGTACAGTGCAGTCTGGGTCTGAGCTTCCCCTGAAGACGCTCCGGACTTCCCCACGACCTTGGCTTAAACATAGCCCGCTTTCGTCCTCGCCTTCATCCCTCACTGAGGATCAGCGCCGCAGCGCGGAATACAGAAAGAAGCCGACGAGTGCCAGAAGGGGGAGGTGTTTCCTCTAATGGGCTTCATACTGCCTGCGGTACGACTTCTCGTGGCGGGAAGCTAATAAAAGAAAGATAAACGGTACGAGCACTCTAAAGGCTGGAGGCTGCTTACACGGGGTCCTCAAGCCGACGCCATAGGCACTTATCTGTATACAATGCTTTTTCAACTTAGGATGGCGGGACATATTTTAGGAAAGGCGCCCGCTACCCCTTGTCTCCCCTTGGCGCCGTCTTTACTTTTCGAGTTAAACGCGGCTTCTGTGGATTGACGGCAGAGCTTTCGCGCGGCTTTGCAGGAGCGAATATGTGTGTGTCGAACGGAACAGAGGCGGGGCTTGCTGGTTTGCAACTGCGGCTTCGAATTCCCTAACTAGGGACTTGGGGAAAACGAGCCCTTTCAAAGATGCGACTATACAAAAATTAAAGAGTCAGTGCCTGTGCCCGTTGGAGTGAACACCGACTCCCAAAAATCCATGCTGCAGTCGTGATCGGCCTTTAGCCCAGTTGAGATTCGCCGACCGGACAACCGCTCTGCCCCATTATAACTCTGCACTTGTCCTCTCGATCGCGACGAATGAGCTAACTACCCAGAAACAAGTAAGTGTTCCTTTCATACAGAAAATATCCAGACGAAGTGCAGTTGAATATAATTTGGAAGGATCCACCTAAGTTTTAAAGTTATAGTTGCCGAACTGCAACATGCTTTCAAAAATATTCAACAATTATTCGCTTTCGTTCTCTCGAGTTGCATCCAGAATCAGAACACGTGAAAACACGAGTTTGGGTTGGCAATGCCGCATGTGCTGCGCTCTGGACATTCCAAATACACGGCGAACAACCGGCGAACTTGCCTGGCAGCGTTCGTTTCGCTCGCTGCGTCAACAGTATTTTGACGCCGCGAGCAGCGTCGAAGCCGCCAGGCCATTTTTGTCGCTTGTTTGCAACGTACTCGCTCCATTGAAGCAATCGGCGACAATAAAAAGTATGTTTTAAAACCAGGTTTTGCATTTTGGCACTGAATATAAGGTTTTAACTACTATGCCAAGCGTAATCTCAAAGAGCAGCCGAGTTTTACATTAAAACGTTTTTCGCATTGTCATTAGCTGCATGAGCTTCCTCCGTATAGTTGGCAAAGCTTGGCTCTCCGTACATGCTCTGCGGGTGTAATGAGAATATATAAATATTCAAGCAAAAGGAGCCCAAAAGTTGTAGCCCCGCCGGGGATATCTGAGCCATCAAGTTACACTCTCTGCAATTGTCACAGCCGCTATAGCACCGAACATTCATCCCCAGTAGTTAAACTTCTTTTTCTCTTTCTAGCGCGCTGCCACGCGAATGGAGTAATCCCGTTTCCTATGAACTACAAAATTCCTTGCGTTATGGTGTTCAGAAAGGATAGTGCCACCACAATTTTCTAGATATTTATCTCTAGCGTGGTCACCCGAAAGGTTTTAATTCAAAGAGTTCATCCCCGACAGGTCAACCGATACAAAAGCTCTCAAGATCCATATTATGTTATCAGAGTTTAGTAAAAACGATAACTCCACAAAAAATATAAACACTCCCGCCCCCCCCCCCCCCCCGCCGTTTTACACTGAGGAACCGCCCCCCCTAAAATGTAGGTCTGGATCCGCTATGGCGGGGGGGGGGGGGGGGGTGGAGGGGAGGTGAGGAAGGAGGAAGAAAGGGAGGGAGGAAGTTTTCTAACCGGTAAAAGATCCGGAAATCTATTGGTTTGTTAGAGCGTTATGGCTCGCGGGAATGTGAACGGTGGTTACGTGATTTTACTTGTATGTACATTTTCTATATAATTATCGCTTTCTTAGTTACGCCTTCTATCTGCGTCTTGGATGACTCGCGAAAAGCGCTTCTAGTCGCCACCTTGTGGAGTCGGTGCTCGCGGAAGAAGGGAATGCTTATACTTGTTGCACCTGCATCTTAGCAGCACGAAGCGAAAAGGCGTCGTCTACGTGCAAGGGAAACAACTATTGTTCCACGCCAAGAAAAAAAAGAAAAAAAAAAAAGCTATTTTGGATGCTCGAGCAACCTTCTTCAAGTACCGCTTGTTGAAAATACTGTTTTTTTTTAGGGCTGGTTGTGGAGGCTCAAAGTTGGTTTCTCGTTGATATACTGGGACGAGACGTTAATGCTCGAATATCATTTGAGACCAAATAAGGTGAACTTGATTGTAAAAAAATGTCCAGTATTCAATGCGGTACCTGTTCGCAGCCATCCCTCCGGAGTGATCACTTCAGCAGTCGCGTCTGGGTTGTTGTAGTATGCTCTCATACTTGTGGGTGATTTAACCCAGAGCTCTCCGTGTTCCTTAGGCCCAAGAACTTTTTCAGTGTCTATATCAACAACCTGTTTTTTTTTTTAATTTAAAGCGACGATAAGTTTATAAAAATAAAACAATATCTCGAGTATATTTATTAGTTCTTTACATTTCTGGTGAAAAAGTGGTATGAATGTGTTCATTAAACATGTCAGAACCTATAAGATTGCATAAGAACTTCGCGATGAACTAACCTTTCTAGAAATTACAAGAACTTCGAAAAAGTAAAGTCAAAAGCTGAAGTGCACTTAGACGGTCAGGTTTTTCTGTGGCGATCGCAGAATCAGGAAACGCTTAGGCCCTTGCAGACCATTCGTCAGTCTTCCAGGCCTGAAATGTTTCCTGATCCTGTGTTCGCTACAGAAGATACTAACCATCTAGGGGCAATATCGTTTTGATAATATAAGAACCAATCGATGCCTGATACGATTTACTAAAGTTCTGATACGTTTGTTAGGCAAATCATGGTATATTTTTTATTATTTATGTTTAATAGGGATTCACCTACCTTCATTTGCACGTCTGGAGCAGGAAAACCGATTGTCTTATGTTCCATTGTGTCGCGTGGCATCCAGGAGATCACATTCGAGAGTTCCGTCGTCCCGTACATGCTCCTGAAGCTTTTTATGCAGAACGCTGAAAGCATCGTTTCTAGGGCATTTTCTGTTACGCGAACGGCGACGACTACTACGTTCCTTACGCTGGAAAGGCGTATTCCGCTCTTGACCACGTGCCTGGCAAGCAGGTGTAGGGCTGTGGTGCTAGCAAAAAGCGTCGTGATCTGCAGGCAAAAAACAAAAGAACAAAAAAAGCTATAATCATAGTGATAAATGCATTGTTGTAGTTGAAACGTGTATGTAAATTTTTCCGTCGCCGTTCCATCACTGTTGCTCTGACAAAGTCCTTTTACTCTATTACGTGCTTCTGCACCCTAAAATGTCCAACCCTGACATATGGCTTTGTTTTCGACTTTTCCCAAGCGTTCGACCGCGTGTCGCATCGCCTTCCGAAATCTGAACTTTCCCCACTCCGCATCGACCACCTAACCCTTTCCTGGATTCAGAACTTCCTTTCCCTCAGAGAGCAGGCTACCGTAGCCGGTAGTTCACTTCTGAGCTTTTAGGTGTAACCTCTGGGGTTCCACAAGGTATTGCCCTTGGCCCCCTTTTATTTCTAATCTACATTAGCAACTTCCCACAGTCACTAACATAGGGTGTGCATCTATATGCTAACAAGCGTGTGCTATTCAAAAATCTTAACGGTCCTGATGATCATCTGCGTCTTCAAAGCGATGTTTACCAAGTAGTACGCTCGTGCTATAAATTGCTAATGGCCCTTATCACTGCTAAAATACAAACTTGTTTCATTCACCGGTAAACGATCGAACTGAAACTTCACATATTCACTTAAGGATTCGCCCATCGCCGCTGTTTCTGCTTCCTACCTCGGTGTTGAACTGACCTGGAATTTTTCTTGGGTTCCCCATATTGATAGGATTGCCGCTAAATCCTCCCGTACACTAGGTTATTTGAAGCGAAACCGGAAATCTGGTCCCCTCACCTTTGTAAATTATCTTACGAAACAAATGTCCACCAGAAATTAGAATATGTGTCGCCATCTGGTCTCCTCACCAAACTTTTTTTATTAATCAAATCAAATATATTTAAAACAGAGCTGCTTGTTTCATTTCATCATTATACTCGCGTTTCGACAGCTTATTATTAATAAAACAAAATTATTTGATTTCCTTGCCGGAAACGCACCGTACAATTTCTTTTCTATGCTTAATCCACAGATTATGCTATAGCCCGGTGGAACTTACTGCTGTCTTCTAGAACAAATTAATAGAAATCACGAAACTTTAACACTAATAGCTTCAAGCGTATTTTTGGGACAACATTAACATTCAACAATTCTGTGATCTGTGATCTATACTTATATCTGTGATACTGTACTGATGTTAATATAATGAAGTGCGGTATGTGTCGTAATTTATTCTTCATGTTTTTACCCAACCCTATTGCCCCTCTTACTTAATGCCAAAAGGCCTTCGAGATATTTTGAGTAAATAAATAAATAAGCTATATTGTTGCGAACTCAGAAATGCGCGATATATGGCCGTGCAAAAACTGAGAAGGCTGTACCTCAATTTCTCTTTGTTGCTCCTAGTTACTGAGACACGCAGGGGTTAGCAATGTGGAATTTCACAAGCCATTTAAGTGGTGGAGAGATAACTAAAAAGAGCAGATTGCTCTTACACTTGGGTTTAATTTCTGTCTCGTCCTTGCGGTGTCCCTCACAGTGTATCAAAAGCGGTCCGTACTTGACAGCACGGTGTAGTTATTTATTTAAAATGGCCGCGGTTGTTCCGGAATAAAATTCATAATGACCGAAATGGACAAATAAATTCGCCCTCGTATCTTCTCCTGTCGTTGTTTGTTGAAGCAAGGTTTCATTCAAGATGCCTTTGTCACTGCAACAATGATTTTACTCGAAACGCTCTGCTATCCAAATTCGTTGGAGAGGTTAGAAAGAGCTATATGTTGACAATGAAAAAGTTGCTAATTCTGCAATGAAGGTTTTTATCACATACGACCCAAGGGCTGCATGCGGGACGTGCCGCAATCGGTTTGTTTCAGGGCTAGGGTCGCTGATTGATTTGGGTCTCCAAACAGAACTTTCAAAGGGAAATCTTAAAGCTTGTTCATACTATGCTTAGGGCCAGTTAAGCGGCTTGGGTAGGTTTTATTCCTTAGCCCCTATCATGCTTACGTGGTGAATAAAGCTATTAATATTATTATCGTCAATAACTTCCGATCGTTTGAGCAAACCCTGCCCATTAAGAGGGTTGCTCAGTGGCATACTCGCCCAACATAAAATCTCGTTCCGCAACTTTAGCTCTCCAGCGTCCAAGCTTGACCGAGCCGTTTATTCTGCATTCAAACTATGTGCGGATGAAACAGAAAGTGCCAGGACCATAAGAGCTAGTTGTTGTCGTGTTCAGAAATCATTAAAAAAGTGTACAGCGAGGACGGAAACAAGGTACTCAACGCTGCAACTTTTTGCTTTTGATAGAGCCCATTCGTTTACTTAATACATTTCCTTATAGCCGTGCGGAAAAGCAAACAAGAAAACGACAACCAGGTGTGTATTAGATTTAAAACTTGAGGAAGAATACAGACGATTTTGTGATATTACATGCCTGCATGAATATCACGCTCAGAATACCGGCGCAGGCCTTTCTTTAAGTAGACATGTAACGTGTCTTTTTTCATGAATTGATGGTGAGTTCCTCACAATGATGAAATCGCCTCTGAAATCTCTGTACACGATGTTTATTAATAAACAGTTTAAGCGTACTTGAAAAAAAAATGCGATAACAAGAGACCGCGTGAAGGATGGCACCATTACTTAAAAAAACGCTGCTGATTTTTAGCAGTTTTATCAGTCTGTTTACATTTTATTGTTTGTTTCAACTTATCTAACATCTTTGGTGCTAGTGGGAAGGGCACAAAAAATAATTCGGAGGTGCTCAATGGGCGCGATCAACGAACACGTTTTCAATATTAGCATTCATGTTTTCCTTATTTTTTCTTTTGTTTCGGGAGAAGAACGGATATTTTAATGTATAGTGAACACTTTATCAGCATGTCCGGGCCCTTCACACATGATTACACATTTTCCAGTAAAAGGCGAAAAAATAACACACAAAATAAATCTTTTTCAACACTCATGAGGGTATTGAAAAATACCGTGAAGTGGTATAAAGGTTACCGTTTTCAAATGTAAAGCTAAGACCTTCATTTTCGCTCAACTAAAGTTTAGAAGCATTTCTAGCAAGTACTTAGATACTGGATCTTGACAAATACATATTTTATATCCATCGAATGTCGCTCGGAACAGCCGAAAATGGACTGGAACTTTCCGGAAGAGCACGGATCGGTAAAAGGAAGGACGTGGCCGAGCGGGTTTGAACTTCGTTTGTCCGCGTGGCAGTTGCGTGCGTTGCCAATTCGCACGCAGCAATATTAACAGATACTACAATATTCAGTTTTTTGTTTTTCCAGAATAGACGGACTGTATTACCTTGTGTCTTCGCACGACGTCCACCGTCTCGTCAAAGCTTGTTCCTTCGGGAATGATGACGCACGTGGCGCCGGAGCAGACAACTCTCATGAGCATTCGGAATCCAACCGTCTGTGCGACAGCGAACAGCGCTCCAACGGTTTCCGTCTCGTCAAACATCATGTTGAGTCTGAATGAAATCGGAGCGATTCAGCAGGTTCACACTGGTGGGGAGCTCTGAACGGCAACATTGAAATACAAAACGCTAACAGTATGGCAAATCGCCACTTATAAAAAAAAAAGAAATCGAAATTCAGGGTTCTCGCTTTGCATTATGGATTGTAACATATCTTGGTGAATCTGCCTTCCAGCTAAAAATAAGCATGACGTACATAGTGCACTACTGAGCATCCGTGCAAGTTGTACGTTTAGGGCAGGGGTCTCAAACACGCGGCCCGCGGGCCGCATGCGGCCCGCGACTTTGACTAACTTTGACTTTTGTTTAAATGTGTGCGCCCTAAACATTTATGATCACAATGATTTTTTTTTTGTGAATGTGTTATTGCAATGTTTTGTGAAGTTTACTTTTCTTCCCGCCTTTTTTTTGTTTTTTTGTTTTTATCTACTGTGAATACTTTAGCACGATGCTGCTTAGCTGCCAATATTAAGGGTCTGTGGACTCGTCAAGCTGCAATGCTGTAGCTTTTTTCCACAGCTCCTTCATCTTTGTACAAGGTGAAAAATAAACTGATTTGATTTGATTTGACTTGCTGAGAAACGGCACGCAGGCAACCGGCTGCGAGTCCCGGTTTCCATATCTCGAGCGCTAGAAATGACATGTGTCATAGTGATCTCATCTCGTCGATTCAATTTCGCTCGGAAGGTATATAGCTCTGCTCTTTTCACGCATGCACATATTTTATAATGCTCTGTGTTTATTTGCCCTTTGTTTCGCTTTAATTCTTGCTTCCCAGCTTTTAGTAATGTACAACAATTCCGGTACTAGCCTGCAACCTCGACCTATTCGTTGAATAATGCATGTCGGCTGCGCAAACTCTCCCTTAGCAGGAGCAATTGCCAAAGATAAAGCTATGAGCTCGGTATTCTCACCTTCAAAAAAATATCCCAATTAAAAGTATTTGTTGAAAGTGTTATAATAAAAATTGTGAGGAATTGAATAACTTCCAAAATTAAATGATTCTTGTTTTTTTGTTTTGTTTTTAAGACATGTTGAACTGGGACGACAGATTGCTTGCTCTCTTGTTGTATTAAAAATGCCAGCACGTTGGCGGGGCAGTGTAATTTTAATTTCTGTTATCACATCACGTCAGGGCCCAAAGTAGTCATATAAACAAATCCAATTTAAAAATGTCACTGGCAAAACCGTGAGTTTACAGAAAGCATAGGGCACCAGGTCTCTTCCTATTAAAATCTTCTTAACCCCCCCTCCCCCCCCCCCCCCCCTTCTTACGTTGGCCCCCGGTCTTTCCGGTGTGGGCTTTCCGGCCCCCACACTCGAATGAGTTTGAGACCACTGGTTTAGGGACTCGAAAAAGGAACGTATGCCGGGGTACATTTGCA